AAAAAAAAACCTGTCGCAGTCTTACTGAAAGATAATGATGGGCATCCCATAATAACCATACTTATGACGATGGTATTAATTTTTTTCTCTAAGTGCCTCTGATTGATTGCCGTGAGTAAAACCCTCCAATAACACTGAGACACCAACATCGAAATCATCTTACTACCTGATCTCAATGTGTTGTACGCGTGCGTCATTTGGCGAAGGAAATGATTAAAACATGAGTTAAATTAAGCTAATGCCCCGTGCACGGTTTCCCCAGTATATTGGCTCATATCCCATAATGGCTAAGGCAATAAAAAGTCTTGAATTGCATTATCCAGTGATCCAGTTTTTAATATATATGTATACATATAAAGTGTGACTTGATTTTCGTAGAACAGTGCTCAATACATAGAAGTAGAGCGAAGTATATATTGTGGGAGGAAAAAGACAAGTAAACTACAAGTTCATCCCTACAAGCCTGTTTCGTGGTCGCCCACTCATCCACGAAACAGGCTTGTAGAGATGAACTTGTAGTTTACTTGTCTTTTTCCTCCCACAATATATACTTCGCTCTACTTCTATGTATTGAGCACTGTTCTACGAAAATCAAGTCACACTTTATATGTATACATATATATTAAAAACTGGATCACTGGATAATGCAATTCAAGACTTTTTATTGCCTTAGCCATTATGGGATATGAGCCAATATACTGGGGAAACCGTGCACGGGGCATTAGCTTAATTTAACTCATGTTTTAATCATTTCCTTCGCCAAATGACGCACGCGTACAACACATTGAGATCAGGTAGTAAGATGATTTCGATGTTGGTGTCTCAGTGTTATTGGAGGGTTTTACTCACGGCAATCAATCAGAGGCACTTAGAGAAAAAAATTAATACCATCGTCATAAGTATGGTTATTATGGGATGCCCATCATTATCTTTCAGTAAGACTGCGACAGGTTTTTTTTTGTCGATTTCCAATGACTCGAACAACGTTTTACTTTGGTTAACACATGACAGGAGTTGTTCGTAGTCTATCTAAAAGCAGTAACAATTTTCACTCCCAACCCTAGAAACATTTTAAGCGTAACGAGAGTCATCGAGCAACGTTACAACCTGGCAGGTGCGATTCCTCCGTAATATTTATGCCTCTGATGAAAAGTTGGCGTGATATCTTTATTAGAGTTTTTCGATTATTCTTCGCGCTGAACAGTATTTAACAAAACAGTCTCTTCAAATCAAATATTCAGTCTAACAGTTATTGCCTCTTTTTTGCTCAACTTTAGATTGAGTTGTTTTATATCTTTCAAATTCTTTAGAACAAAAACATCTGTAATGCCGGACTGACTTGGGAACTACGAAAATGATGATGAGTGCTTCTCGGTTATAAAAACACTGCGGGAACATTTGTATAAATGTGTATCAAGGGTTGTCGTAACTGTCAATGTAAAATTTATAGATTTGATGAGCTGTTCTGTTCTTTCTTGCTTCATGCTAAATGGATCTTTTTTTAATCCTTGCAGACATGACTATGTGGTAGTAACCTAATATATATTCTGCCTATGATTAGATGGAGAGATAAAAAGCAAAAAAATTAATACTAATCTGCAATAGAAAATAGTCAGTGAAAATGAGTCAAAAGTAAGTCGAGGAATATATAAAGGAATAATGTGTTGCATTTGTTCCATGTTATTGGACGAAAACTTCCTAGCAGAATGACATTTTATTGTGGTTACGAATTTGAAATGTACTAAGTGAGTTAAGATCCTAGAATATTTCCATTAAAGCTTTTTTAATATTCATCTCTGGGGTCTGCACATATTTTTATGGCTATCGATGAATCGGCACCATTTGAGTCGAAAGAGTTTCATGTGGCGTTGTTTTCTTGATCTTGGCTTACCAAAGCTCAATTCTGAACCGTAATGGTAATCTAATCAGTCACAACAGAGCTAAAGAAACCTTAAGGAACACCAGTAAATTGGTTTGATTACGTCAACGTCATCTTTCTTAATAAAAGAAAAAGTCATAAATTCATTGCAAAATTAATTTTTGACAAATATTTGCCCAACCGTAAGAAGGAACCACTTTAATTGAACCTCAAAAACCTCACTGCCATGAGAAATATCTTAGATATATAACGCCTCGAAAGGTTATGATATCTTCAGCTCACCAATCACGATCTGTTTTCCAACAATGCACCAAAACGATTCCATCTATTCTCAGTGTTGAGAATCTTGATCTAGACTTACCAGAGCTCAATTTTGAAACCGTAATGATATTCTAATGTGTCACGGCAGAGCTAAAGAAACCTTAAGGAATACCAGTAGATTGGCCTGGGTTTAATTACAGCAACGCCACCTTTCTTCATAATTTCATGGCGAAATTAATTTTTGACAAATATTTGCCCAGCAGGAAGAAGGAACCACTTTAATCAAACCTCAAAAATCTCATTACCATAATCAATATTTTACATGCATAACGCCTCGAAAGGTTATGATATCCTTAGCTTTCCAATCACGATCTGTTTTCCAACAATGCACCAAAACAATACTATTTTCAGTATTAAGAAAGCAATTTCTCTCCACGAAATATCAAGAACAATTTAAACAAGTTAGATCCTCCTCACCAAATGAGTGAAATTGCATCAGTTAATGAAAAGAAAGTGAGCCAAAATTCATGAATTGCTTACTATGTCGAAAGAAACCAAATAAGAGGCATAGTCATTAACATTTTACAACAAATAGAACAAAATAGTACACTAAGGCTTTATCAGATGTGAGCTTTTGTATATTTGAGTGTGTCATGTTTGATCTAAAAAGCCTCGCATGTTCGTTATGTAACATGTGTATTATGGAGCAAGTAATTTATTCCTGTAACCAAGAATGTTGGCAATGATTAAAACAATGGTGGTCGCGCGATGATTAAGTTCCTATGACACATTCACAGAAAAAGACACGAAATCCTTCTCTAAAAATTTCTGATCAAGTGCTCTTTTGGAGGCTTAACAAAAAATTTTGAAGAGATATTTTCTAGCTCATGGTTATTTGGTTGCCTGATTGAATTCACAGACTCATGCATATCAAATGCTAAAAATAGATAAATAATGATCAAAGTGTCATTTTTCTGTGGCGGAAATTTTTGGTTTGAACTCGCGAATTAAAAAACAGCATACGCTGTTGAAAAGAGTTCATCATCTACATGTCTAAATATGTGAAGTTTACAGGAGCTCATCTTCCAACAACAAATTGATTAATTGTTCTTCTGCAAACTTTGTTCCTTAACATTAATTTCTCAGTGAAACAGTCCTAAAATTATGCAACCACCATGGTACTGTCCATGATGCTTCAGTTTTCGAAATCAGTCGAACAAAAGTAAGCTGTTTGTTCATTTGAGTTCAACTGAGAAGACAGTTGTTTTGCATTTGTGTGATGTCTTTTGCATAAAGTAAAAAAAAAACAAGATCAGTGACCCGGTGGACGTACCATTTTTACTTCGCAGCACCTCTGCAGTCAGCCTTGTAAGTCATGTAAGTAATTTTTGCGGTTATTGTTCCAGGATAGTGGATGTTTAAATCGACTCGTTGAACACGATCTGTTAAAGGTCAATGTTTTTTAAAAACTTGTCTTACCAAAATCTCTCAATTTTTACCTCATTTCTACTCATAGTAAAGTAAGAGCGTCTCTATTGATCAACCTGATTGCAGTATTGAAACGGATTTCATCAATGCTAATGAAATGACGATTTCAAGAGTATCGTGAGAGAAGGAGGATCATCGAAATCGAGATTAATGAATCAGGCAACACGCACGTACGTTCCTGATAACTGAAGACACATAAATCAATTAAACCTCAAAATGAAATGCTTTTTAAAAGACTTATCCGACGTCGACACCAATAGCACCACGAATTAAGACAATGTAGCCATACTTATCTGACGTTTTTGCGATCAGGTTTGAATTAGGTAAGAACTTTGAAATTTTGATCGGCGCCCTTGTTAGTGTTCGAAAATTTAAATTTTTCCCTCATTTGTCACCAGCTGAGTGGCAACTGAATGTTGAGATAATGATGGACATCTTTCTTAGTTTAATTGACTGCTATGTGGTTAAAAAGAGAACCTTTTAACTTTTCAAAAATTGATCAAAATAAAAAATTAATGGTTTAGTTCTGACCAATTTGTTTTAGTGATAATTATACTAGTCAGAGTATCTACAATGATTTTCTCACCTTGAAAAACTGGAATGAAAAATTAAAGACAAAACAAAGAAAATGTTCATCTTCCGTAAATGCATTAATATTCAATACTGCAGTTACAAGAAAAAAACCCCATACAATCTTCTTCTCTTTGTTCTTTTAGTCTTTATCATCCTTGAAATGTAAATAAATGAAATTAATTCAAAAGCAAATCACTGTTCAGTTAATCAAAAGGACAAATCACACACAAAACGGCATTGCAATGTTCAATCGAGTTCTCATTCTCCCGGTAGACTGAAGCAGTATGCTGACGTATAAGCCTTGGTTTCTTGTTGTTCACCCAGTTCTCGTGTGCTACACGTGGATGACATTTGCAGAGGCTGCCGAGGATAATTCATCAAGTCTCAACGATTCAAATCAACGGAAAAGTAAGTTTTCCCTTGTTCCCTTGCGGTAGATAGCTATAGAAACAGAGACAGACAAATAGAGCGAGGCACACTGACTTGCTTCCGATCTCATAGAAACTTGTAATGTGGCTTCGTTTTAAGAATGGGCATTTTGGGTAGAACGTTACCGTTTCGAAAGATTATTAACCATGAGTTTTCATTCGAAACTACTGATCCCTGCCGGCCCTTCAGCGTGAAACTGATGCTTCTATCGTTATCTCAATGATCCATTCATTTAATTCGTCAAAGACCAACGAGGCTGATGGTTTACCTGACTTGAGCTTAAAGTATACCGAACATTTCATTAGCGATTTACTTCAGCTTTTTAGCAAAAATAATCCTGGGCACGCTGTTTTGTTTGTTCAATTTACATAACAGGAGGTGGAAATGTAATTTCCTGTGAGTCCTGGTAATTGCATTTTTACCTCAGGAAATGAGCAAAATATACCTTTCTTTTTCCTAAAATTATTTTGGTAAGTAAAGGCCATAAGTATTGATTTTTGGAAAAAAAAAACTAATTGAGGATTGGATCATTTCATTCCGACTGTGTTTTTAATTTTACTGTGCATTACTGATTGAGTGGTCTGAATAAATAGGACCAAACTAAATAGACTACGTCGAGTATATCGATGAGCCTCTCCCAAAAATTAACTAGCATTTCCCCTTATAGACTCGTTAACAAATGCATGAATTTTCTCTCATTTCTCATCAGATCCACAAGACACCACCGATTTCCAATTCAGTTTACAAACAAGAGTGATTTTCGCCACAGCCACATTATTCAGCTTCCTGATATCTGTGATAGGCAACTCTCTTGTGATTTGCATCATAGCCAAGCAAAAGTTCATGAAAACATCAACCAATTGTCTCATAATGAACTTGGCTGTTTGTGATATTTTGACCACTGTACTCCTGACACCAAATTTCATCAGAATAATTTTTCTTGGAGGCAAATGGTTTGGCGGTAATATTGGAAGTGTCACTTGTAAAATGGTGGAATACGGAAACTCTGTTACACTTTATTGTTCTCTTTTAAACCTAGTTGCTATCGCAATTGATCGATTTCTTGCTGTCACTCGACCACTATCTTACAAGCTGTCAGCAAAATGGCTGGTAAAAATTTCAATTCCTGTCATGTGGTTGATTTCACTTTCATTACCTATAGCAAGTGTGTCTGACACACGATTATTGTACCACGACGGTAATGTGTGGCCAACATGTGAAGAGGAAAGAAATCGAGGCTCTTGGGAATTGTACTTGTCGATAGCTACTCTAGTCGGGTCATTTATCGTATTGGTTACGCTCTATCCAGTCATTTCTTATCGACTTTGGAGAAGAAACATTCCTGGTGAGATGTCTAGCAATCAAAAGGAACTTGTTATTCGTACAGCACGAAAGGTCACTATTTTAATGATATCAGTTGTAGTTGTCTTTTTTGTTTCATGGGCACCAGCTTTTGTTTTCCTTATAATCTCCGAATTTGGAAACGCTGATCCAACATTCAGAACAACTTTAATACAATACCCGTTTTTATTTGCTTTGAGTTACTGGCTAATGTGTAACAACAGCGCTTTTAACCCTTTGTTGTATTTCGTATTTATTGAAAGTTTTCGTCAAAGCTTGAGATCGGCCTGTTCAATATGTCGGGTTCCTCAATTCTCAGCACATAGAAGGAGGCTCGAAGCTGGACAAGGATTAACGAGAAATGTGCCAGCTTTGGACATCATCAATAGGGAAGAAGGAAACATTGAATTGACGGCATACTCCAAGTACAGTTCATAAACGTACAAAACGTTTGTAATTTAGCTGTGTGGTATGCAAAAGACCTTGAAGGCCTCAGATAGGTTAAAAAAGTGAGCCATGTAAATACTGCTCCTTCTCTGTTAAAAGAAAAGAACTGTTCCATTGAATAAATTATTCACTACTTATAACAATCCGAGACAGAAATTTTCATTCTGAGTCCCCTTTGCTTTTACTTTGGTCCAGAAATCTTGCGCTAGTCTCCAAACCAATCAGATTCAAATCACGACATGGTCGCTAAAACAAATCACGACTTGGTCGCTCGCGTTTTCCCGCGCTCCAGGCCTTTTGCTCGGTTTTACTTTGAATTCTTATTTACTTTGAGTTACTATTATTATTAAAGGTATTTCCTTTCTTCTGATTGGCCGTAGTCATTACTTAGGCCTTGGGTTTTTTCCTCGTTTTATCGTTTATTATTAAAAACACTTTGCTGAATGACTGAATTACGCGAATATGTACAATGCAATAAAACGAATGTTAAAATAAAATATATATATATATATATATATATCTATATAAAGTGTGACTTGATTTTCGTAGAACAGTGCTCAATACATAGAAGTAGAGCGAAGTATATATTGTGGGAGGAGAAAGACAAGTAAACTACAAGTTTATCCCTACAAGCCTGTTTCGTGGTCGCCCACTCATCAGGGGATTTCCCCTGATGAGTGGGCGACCACGAAACAGGCTTGTAGGGATGAACTTGTAGTTTACTTGTCTTTTTCCTCCCACAATATATACTTCGCTCTACTTCTATGTATTGAGCACTGTTCTACGAAAATCAAGTCACACTTTATATATATATATATATATATATATATATATATATATATTTAATGTTGTACCTATGTAATACTGACCCATACTGTAATTCAGCCTTAGCTACGAGAGTATGGAATTAAACGATCATCATCAAACGATTATCATCATCTTGGAAACTTTCCATGTCTTATATTTGACATGTAAAAGAAGTGACAAGTCCCCTCACGTTACCTTTTGAAATATGAGCAATCAGCATCTAAAATAAGATCACCTGATTGGGAGTAGATGGCTGAGTTTGTGGCTGCCATGCGCAATTTTATTGGATAGATCTTTACATAATGGTACAAGGTACAAAACCGGGGCCGTTGCTGTTTGTCATAACCGCCTCCCGGTTAGCTCAATTGGTTAGAGCGCCGGATTGTGTTGTGCAGGAGGTCGAGGGTTCGAGCCCCGGCCGGACCAATACTCATGGTCTTAAAATAATTGAGGAGCACTTGCTGCCTTTCTATAATCAAGAAATGGATAGATATTCTAGTCTTTCCGAATAAGGACGAATAAACCGTACGCCCCGTCTCCTGCAGGGTTAGAGGTAGGAGACGTTAATTTCCCACGCACGAGATTACTGTGTGGTAGACGTCCTCCCCTGGGTGGGATGGGTGGGTGTGGGCTCTGAAAAGCCCCTATGGGGAGAGGTCAATTAACCTATGTATGTATGTATGTATGTATGTATGTCTGTATGTATAATGATCAACGAGCTAGCTGTTCCTGGCACCGATCTCTGGAAGTATGTCGATGATATCACTACTTCGGAGACGATAAGTAAGATTTAAGACAATAATATTCAAGCCGCTGTTGACATCCTAGCAAATCGTGAGTCCGTGGAAAGTTTCAACTGAACGAGACGAAATGCAAGGAACTGCGAATAAACTTTAACATTAACAACACTACTTTCAGGTACTTTATTCGATCCAGTTGTTGTTAACAGCATGGCTATTGATATAGTTTCCAGTGCCAAAATAGTAGGCCTCAACATCTCCAATGATTTGAAATGTAACACTACATAGTTTATCTCATCTTAAACGCTGTCTTGGTACCCGTGAGTTAGTTCAGTTTTTATGCACTTGCATTCGTCTGACCACGGAGTATGCATGTCCCTTCTTGCGTGACGATGTCCGCACGTACCTCTCCAACGAGTTTGAAGGTGTGCAAAAGCGGGCTGTGCGCATCATCTCTACCTTTTGCTCATATTATGAGGCTAGTTGAGAAATTACTTAAGCAAATTATTTAGAGTGAACAGGACAAGCTTACTTTATTTCAGTTTGGATTTCAAGGCTGGTATAATGTTGATGATGAAGTTTTAGTTTTTTCTGCTAGCGCAGTTTTAGTAGCTGCTGATGCACCTTCAGTTAAAACTTCTGGCAAGTTGTAGGGTGTAGTGTCTAGTTAAGCGTAAGGCATTGTGGGTTGCAAGAGGCAGCCATCTTGGAAAAACATGTGTGTGTGTGGAAAAGAAAGTGTGTTGTGTTTTCAGGGAAATCCAGTGTATTTTATTAGCCATCCAGCCCCGACAGTACATTAGCGACGAGGATACGCTTCTGTTCGTCTTCTGCAGGTTATTTTGGAGATTCATCCCGAAGAAAGCGAAATTTTTAAGCGAAATGCATGCCACTAACAAGACCTCACCGAGCACTTCGAGTGCCAGTCAGGCAACAGGGAGTCAGCCAGCTCAAGTGGCCCAGTTTGGTACATCGGAGGTTAGAAATCTTCCCTGCTTCAACCCCAGGGAAGATCCAAACACTTTATCTGTGCGTTGGAAACGCTGGAGACGCTCGTTCGAGTTATATTTATTGGCAAAAGGAGTATCCGACGACAAACAAAAGGTCACGTTGTTGCTACACATCTCGGGAACGGACTTGCAATACTTATATTACACACTAGCCGGCGGAGCGGAGGAATTGAAACCTTAAACGGACGTTGTAACACTTCTGGATGCGTATTTCGTGCCGAAAGTTAATGTTCCCCTCGAAATACATGTTTTTCGACATAGCGGGGAGAAGGTCGACCAGTTCGTATGCCGACTTCGGCAAAAGGCTTTGAAATGTGATTTCACTGATGTCGACGAAACGATCCGAGACCAACTGATAGAGAAATGCTTAGACCCCAAGCTCAGACGAAAATTCCTGGAGAAAGCTAATGCCACCCTCACAGACCTACCAGATATCACGAGGGCCCACGAAGCAGTTACCGAACAGTTGAAGTCGATGGAGATATCTTTTACACATCACTCAGCACATGCTAACTCGGTCAAGCATAATACAACCCCGAACAAAGGAAAGGGACAATGTGTAGTCAAACGAAAACAAGGGGTGCAGAAGTATGAGGTACAGAAACCCAAGGCAGGTCAATCACAAAGATGTTATAGTTGCAACCGTTTTGGCCATGTTGCCAAAGATACATGCTGTCCAGCGAGAGATAGGCAATGTGACGAATGTGGGATTCGCGGACATTTCGCAGTGTGTTTCGAGAAAACCGGAACTGGGAAATCACGACCTACAACCAACAGGAAAACAGTCAGATAAGAAGTAAGAAAGAGTTTCACGTAACAGAGGGAGCAGCTGAACGAGAGGATAAATATGCATTTGTTGTTGGAGGCCAACACAAAACCGGAGAGCTTTCGCTTAAAGTCGGTGGAGTGGATTTGGGCAACGTATTGATTGATTCAGGTGCCTCGTGTAACTTGATAGACTCCGAAACTTGGAACAGCCTGAAACAAAAATATATCGAGTGTGAATCCAAGAAGTCAAACGAGAAGCTATTCGCATATGGCTAGAGAGAGCCAATGGAAGTCATGGGGAAATTTATTGCAGAAATAGCATGCGCCGAAAATGGAGAAGTGTGCGTGGATGAATTCACTGTCATCAAGGGTACTGGAAGACCCCTTGCTTGGGCGAAGGACAGCAGAGAAACTTAAAGTGTTGCGAGTAGGACCAGCGAGTAGGCCTCAAGTTTGCTCTGAGGGGAGTGATAAAGATATTCGTGAGGAATATGTCAATATTCTCACTGGAGTTGGAAAGCTAAAGGACTATCAGCATAAGATTCACGTTGAGAAGGACGTTACACCAATAGCCCAGCAAGTGCTGAGACTTCCTTTCGGTCTCAGAGCCAGAGTTGACTAGAAAATCGATCATCTGCTCGACAAGGAAATCATTGAAGAAGTACCAAACACCCCTACCGCGTGGGTGTCACCCTTGGTTGTAGCTCTTAAGCAAGATGGAGACATAACCGTATGTGTCGACATGAGACGAGCAAACGAGGCAATGATAAGGGAACGACACACCATCCCTACGATTGAAGAAATCCTATACGATCTTAATGGGTCAACAGTTTTCAGCAAGCTGGACCTCCGAAGGGGATTCCACCAAATCGAGCTGGAGAGGAATCACGGGAAATTACAACGTTCGTGACCCATCGTGGCTTATACCGTTACAAACGGCTGATGTTCGGAATCTCTTCAGCACCGGAGAAGTACCAGAAGATCATATCAGATGTTCTACAAGGCTGCAACGGCTTTGAAAACATTGCAGAGGACCTCATCGTTCATGGGATAAATTTGGAAGATCACGACAGGAACTTGCATACAGTTTTAAAGCGGTTGCGTGAGAAGGGGTTGACCTTAAAGTGCTACTGAAGCGAAAATCAATCTACTGTAAAAAACGATTAATTATTACTTCGATTCCTATTTAATCAAATAAAAAGTTTTTAAGCCATGTAAACATTTTCTTCATTGTATTTTTGGAGCGCGAACATAGACAAGTTGCTGACAAAAGTGCGTCCGGGCGATTTCCTAATTAGTTATGCATATGACGTCACACGGTTGACACATCGAGCGCGGGGGAAAGTGCAGCTCATACATTTCACAATGGCGAAGCATGGTGGAAAGACTTGTGCGGCCGGTGCTCCCGGAGGCATCAGTTGTACGAACAATTCTTATACTCCAAATGTTTCCATGAATTTATTCCCTAAAAGTGAGAAAGTAAGGGATCAATGGGTAAAGTTTGTGAATGTTCATAGGCCAGATTGGAAACCTTCATCGCACAGCACATTGTGCTCCTTGCACTTTCACGAGAGCTGTTTTACAAGGCTAAAATTAAGCAGATTGTTGCCAGCCAAAACTAGTGATGAAAACAGCATGAGCTCTGAAGAAATTTCAAGCACGAAGCCCAAAGAAAAACGAGTTTTAAAAACGGGATCAGTTCCAACTATCCAATGCGCTATCCAAGCACCCGTGATCGAACAAAGCGCTCGTGAGAGGAGAAGATCGCAAGCGGTAAGTGTGGAATGCATGCTTCCTTTGTTGTAATAATTTTCATAAGTTAACGTCGTCTTCGACAGTTTCGTTGCCAGTTAAGAAGAGAGATAACGAAAAATCCTTGAGATAATAATTACGATTCACGTCGTATTTTAATACAAGTTACCAACAAGGGTTTTCGGTTTTGGATGCTCATATTCAGTTTGTTTACGTGCGATTTAATGGCTACTTAATGACATCAAAAAGTTGTCCTGCGAGGACCAAACCAGCTGCCTAGAGGGGTTCCATTCAACCTTGAATCAGTTTCATCGTAAGATGATATGTTTCTCATGGCTTGGCTCATACTGCAGGTGGGATCATATTATATCAGAAAACAAAAATAGTACCAGCAAAAGCTGGAGATGCATGTCATCTAAATTATGGTAACATTCCTTTATGGAAATCCTTACCCTCCTTTCAAATTCTTTCAAAATTTGTGTTCAGAACCAAAATAAAATCTGACTGCTTTGATTTACTCTTGCATCAAAATTTCTGTTATAGTCCATGATGTAGCTTGGTGTGTTTTACGTCCTAGGCACATCTTAGCTAGCCTACATTTTAATGAGAACTTGCTGAGGGAGCCCCCGAAGGACAAAGGATGGAAAGGAGTACTTGTTAGTAACATACCCGAAGTACAAGTTTGGAGAAGATGYTGTGCAAGAAATAAGAGTATCTCCCACTTACAGTAAGTGTAATGATATGCAGCAGCCACAGTTTGCAGTTAATGCCAGAGGATACTGATACAAAGAATGCACTAGCTTTCACAAGTATTTTCTGCTCACACTGCCAAAACTGAATCTCATGCTTTTTAGGTCATGAACATGAATTTTAATCCTTTGTTTTCCCTTTGTTTTTCCCTGAATTTGTGGACGATGTTAGGGAACTAGTGTTTTGCATGTTCCTTGTGGAAAGGGATGCAATCCTTTCTAAGTATAAGGCAGATATTCCCGCACCTTTGAACTCGAAGTTCACTGACAGGCGATGTAGAGCAGAGGCTAGAGAGAATTACAACAAGAGAAAGCAGACAGAAACAGCTCTATGCCCTTCAGGTGAGATTTTTTGAAATTGATTACATAATCATACATTGTATCATTCAAGCCCTACCCATCAAACTATGGTCAATATTTTGTTTCTGGATGTTTGCCTAAGTAAGGGTTGGCAAGCTCTGGTATGTAATTCAACGGGGCTGTCACTAAAATTTCAAGTTGCAGGATAAATACAACAATTATGCGGACAATCAAACAGCTTGGGGTTTCCTTTGGTTCTATTAATTTTCTTTTTTCCTATACAAGTAGCCAGAGGCCAACTTCATACTGTAGAAGCCTGGAGGAATCCCAGGCTCCTGCCTCTTAAATACAACCCTGAATCTGGAAGGCGTTAATATTGTACCATCTACCAAAAGAACACAATATCAACAAGAAWTTTTTTTTTCTACATTAAATACACATATTCTACTTGCAGCTGAAATTCTGATTGAACTTCAGGCATCAAGCACCCATGCTAACCAACAGCCTGCCAAGAAGAAAAGAAAAACACCTACATGCAGAAAGTGCAAGCTGCCAATGAAAAACCATGCAAGAGGAAGCTGTTCTGGTGCTAGTACCACCTAAAACACATATACCAGTCGATGAACATACAGACATTGATTGGATATCAAAAGAAACTTTAGTAAATAAATTTTGTTTGTGTTTATCATGGCCGAATGTTGAGACTAAAAAATAAATTGTACTATATTTCCACTTGTCACAACAGATACATGTACTGTGACAGGGACCTTGCATGTGGTATGTAGCGTTGGAAAATAAAAGATCAACAACTTGAACGCACGGAGGTCATGACTTTTGTAAAATGTGGTGGCTCCTAAAAGAGCTGTTGTTGTACAGAGTTTTTCCTTTGTTGCTTAATTTTGCCTTTGCTCTGCAGTGATGTAACCTCTGGTGGAGGCAGTCTGATACTTCTGCCTAATTCTATTGTATAATTATACAGGCAGGAAGTGGTTTAGTGTTGTTCCAACCAAGGGGCCCAAACATGCATCGCACAAGAAAGCAGTATGTAGTGGCACGACAGCTCCCAAGAAAGAAGAAAAGTTTACAGTTTTTATGAGTTATAGCACTTGGAGTTGTACTTTTAACAAACCAGTGTCATCTCCTCCTCCCCTCCACCAAAACCATCAAAAACAAAATAATAACATTGAGTGAAGTTGACACAATTGATGTTAAGTGATCAACAAAATATTGTTTTCAGGTTCTCCTTTTAATTCTTACAAAAGACTTTTATATCTGAAATTATTGCTTAGATGTTGCCAATAATATCGGAGCATTATTGCTGTTAAAATAAAGTCGGTCTTGGTCAAATTACACAGAAAACATTCTGCAGCAACCTAACTTGTAAGCTACTTTTATGTACTTGAGTAGGTGAGCCTCATTCACATTCGGTCGATGCGCTTGACGGAAATGAGGCGAAGTTTTATAAACATAAGAAATCCTACTCACTCCTTTTTCGCATTTACAGTTCCTCTGGTTGGAAACTTGTAAGCCTGGCCATTCGTGTCCTTCCTCAGAGGGCAAACCTGCTCAAGTACTGTGGCGTTTGTCAGAGCGTCGAAGTCTGGATGGTCGAGCACGCAATTACCTTCGATGCCCTCAAAGGTCAGTTTTGCCATGGCTGCCGTGACTTCCTTACAGCAACGAAACTCCAAGGCATTCCACAGAAGTTCTGTATCGCAGTTGTTGCAACGACACTTGAATTCAGAATAATGTAAACATCAGGAAAGACTGATAAGCGCGAGCCCGAGACAACTTAAGTATTATGCAAATTAAACACACTCGCGTGGACGAAAACAAACGAAGAGAAGGTGTAATGTCGGAGTTTCACTTTAAGTTTTCACCTACCATTCATCTACGGTTATTTGATTCTCGGACCTAGACTCCAATATCGCCGGAGTCAAACCATCTTCGTCTTCTTCATCTGGTTCTTCA